CTCTCTCTCTCTCACACACACACACACTCTCTCTCTCTCACACACACACACACTCTCTCTCTCTCACACACACACACACTCTCTCTCTCTCACACACACACACACTCTCTCTCTCTCACACACACACACACTCTCTCTCTCTCACACACACACACACTCTCTCTCTCTCACACACACACACACTCTCTCTCTCTCACACACACACACACTCTCTCTCTCTCACACACACACACACTCTCTCTCTCTCACACACACACACACTCTCTCTCTCTCACACACACACACACTCTCTCTCTCTCACACACACACACACTCTCTCTCTCTCACACACACACACACACACACACACACACACACACAGGCTGCCTGTACATTTGCAAGCTTAATCCTCTTATGAAACAGGCTGCTATGAAAACTTAGAAAAAGCATCTGAAGTAAAACGACGTGTCACCAACATCAATACTGAGATTATTAACCTCATGAAATATTTGTAATAAATCAAACATTTCTGTAACACTTAAATCTTTAATGTATAATGCACTATAAAGGTATTCATAATGCACATTGTAATGCATTATATAATTTCATAAATAATTGTAACCAAAGTTGAAATGCATTTTAATATATTCAAGGGTTTGTCATGTGTTTTAATGCATTAAAGGTGTAATAATGAATATATTTGTATTATAACTGTGGTTATAATTACTAATGAGATCATACAGTGCATTAAAGGGTGCATTACAACGCATAATTAATGCATTAAAACTACTTTTAATATGTATTATATATAAAGGCTTTTAGTAAAGCGTTACTAACATTTCCATTCATCATTCAATCTGTTTCCAAAAAGACAGACAATAAAATGAAGAAATGAAAACTGATCAGCCAGAACATGATTTTCTGGTTGTAAAACATGACAAATGATTGAATAATTACACGCTACAATCTCAATCTGGCACAGCCTCAAATAAGTAATTTGTGAATAAAAAGGCTTAAAATATCCTGAATTTTCACTCATTCAGACTGAAAGTGAGATTCAGAACACAAGGTATTCCTATAGCGTCAATCTGTCAAAAAAAAAAAAAAAAAAAAAAAAAAAAAAAAAAAAAAAAAAATTCCCTTGCTAAAATTTTGGTTTTTGTTACTTTTTTTTTTTTTTTTTTTTTTGAAGAAAGACAAGTATAAATAGTGATGAAAGCCAAAATATTAAATGTCACAAAATGTATATTAACCGAGTAATCTACTGTTTTGTAGAGGAGGGTCTGTAATTTCAGAGCCAGATTATAGGGGTGTAAAAATGACTTCAGAAAGATGGCAGCATAATGATTTTATTTTTACACAGAGATTGGAAGGTCTATTAATAAAATCTGTTGATTTTTAGCAATCTTTGATGCATTTTATGCCAACGGTGACAGTTCAAAATGGGAAAAAGCCCTTTTTGTGTCCCCCCCTCCCCAAAAAAAAGTTTGCATGTCTGCAACTCAAGAAGTATTAAAGATATCTTAATATCCTTTTAGACATTGGTTCCTGAATGTTTTTTGTACTTCAGACATTGCTCTTCAAATACAATAAGTATGAGCTGTATGCAAATATATTTGCCCAAATCTAAAACATATACACAAACACACACTACAGAGATCCGCGCACACACAGTGACCTACTCTGTATTTTTGCCCACACATGTAGAAATGAATTTTATGCAGTCCTGCCCACAGATATGTGTGGATATGATCTACCACAGCATAAACTCTACAGAAAACAGAAGAGTTTTGCGTTTTGCATCAGACGTTCAAGTTGATTTCCCAGCACACTCCACAACAGCACTCACATGACAGCGAGAAACACATGCATTTCATCTGAAAAACATGGAGCACTGAGCTCAAACAGTGTTGCATAACAGTACGATTTCAGCTCTCGGCCAATTCACACCAGAACAAATTACCGGCGGCGTTACGCAACAATGGCACGCTTACAGAAGTAGCGAGGTGCGAGGAGCGACACATGAGGCTCACCTCCACATTAACGGATGCTGGATTTAACAGCACAGACTGAGAAAGTCCTTTATGAATCGGATTCATATTCCAGCCTTGCTAAAGCGTGACAAAGCCAAATAACCTAAAACAGACTGTAGAAAAACCCAGAAAACAGCCGACGGGAGTGAAATGTGACATGATTTTGTGTGATGTAATCTAATTTATACACTGATTACATAAATGCATTTATATACTGGTTAAATAAATACTGAATACTAAACTTTATATACACTGAATAAAAAAAATAAAAAAAAGTGTGACATTTTTGTAAGATTGTAACATGATTTTTTGTGATTTAATCAGTATAAAAATGTATTTATATACTGATTAAATAAATGCATTTATATACTGGTTAAATAAATACTGAATGTTATACACTGAATAAAAAATTAAATTAAATAAAACAAAAAAAAAAGTGTGACATTTTTTGTAAGATTGTAACTTTTTTGTGATTTAATCAGTATAAA